CCATGGCGTAAGTATACTTTCTCTCGCTTTGGTGGTGTTTTGGGCGCTCCCTCTAGCACGCACAACCTTGTCAGTCCCAGTCCAAGCCGATGCTTGTCGTTGCAGGCGAGGTGGATGGGAAAGGAAGCTCCCAAGAAACAATGCTGCGAACTAATAACTGCTGCCGCCGTGCTGAGAGCCGCTGCTGCCACCTGGCACTTCCAGTGTCAGGCCACGCGCTGATTGGATGCTGCAGTTGGCCAGGCCTTTTCAGGGGTTCTAGCGAGGTCCTGCAGGGTTAGTCTCCCTTCAATAACGACTTCAGGTGACGAGTCCACCACATTTGGGTCCACGAGCACACGTATCTTCAACGTATCAGCCAGCATCTCACATCTAACTCGATAAAGAAGAAAAATCGATTTGGACAGGCAATGGTATTGCTATTCCAGCATCCACCATGAACAAGTGTTCGCAGACATCCACATCAACAGTACTACCTGTTCAGTCTCCATGCCGTCTCCAACCCGAGACATGCGGGCTCGAGATGTTTCGAATTGACTTTGATGCATCGTCATTGGAATGGGCACTTGATTATTAGGGGTATCTTCCCCTGATATTTCCCTAGCGCCTGATGATGTATCAATATATGGCTTACAGCCATGGGCAAGATTTACGAGATGTTGGTCAGCCCATGTCACAATGTGCAAGCAATGCATCATGGGGGTCTTGTGCACCAGGCGCAAAATCATTCATCCAAATTCTCCTTCACCCTCAATACGACAGATCATTTCATTCTCCTTCCGAGTGAGCTCTTATGCTTGTCTAAGCGGCCCTATTTTGATTCCAGCTTCGGTACTTTGAGCCGTCTTACGAAATGCCGTCTAAGCAAACTCGCTCGGCTCACCTCCGGGAAGCTCCCTGCCAGGAAATTTCTCGGCCTGAACGAGCCGTGGGCGGCCAGAGACGGCCTGGAAGCGTTGCGAGTTAGCTTTAGCGTCAGGCGGGGCAACTCAACGCCGATGAACGGAGCTTTGATCTATTGCGCGAAACGCTCAACGCGCCGCCATTGGGCCGCGTCCAAAAAGATCTCTGGCCGTTGCGTGAAAGGTACGGCTCGGAGGGTGTGTAATAAGTAATGTGATGAGCACGAATACCGTGAATAACCTGTGATATAAACGTGTAGTCTTGCATCCATTGGTGTAGCAATTCCCTGTCCTCGGTATCCTGTACCGGCCATGTCGTAATAGAAACTTAAACAAGCAGTTAACTGCACACCTACTCCTCTAAAATATCCGTAGCTAGTGCCGGAGCTCTGATAGCTATAACGTCCCTTGCTAGGTATTTAATAATCCTCTGGGCACCCCGCATCACCCCTCCAAAGCTCCCAACTTTTCCACACTCCCATTCATCCCCAGGTATGTTCGCCAGACGGATTCCAATTCGAGCTGTCACTTCTTCTCTTCGACCTCAAGCTTCCCTGAGACCAGCAAGGTTCACATCTTTCCCAGCCGCGCCCCGATTCAAATCCACAATGGCCGAGATCATCTCTACCGCTGAGGCCCCTGCTGGTACGTACGTCCCACGACAACAACGAAGAGAACAATTCCGCTGACCTAGCTTTTTCTGCTGTACAGCCCTGGGCCCCTACGTACGTACCTGGACTCCGTTCCTCAATTGCCAAAGTTCATTACTTCCAATATGAGACGCCCTGTCTAACCATCCATCCCCCGTTTCCAGTCCCAGGCCATCAAGACCGCCAACGTCATCTACCTCTCCGGCCAGATCCCCCTCAAGCCCGACGGCACCTTCGTCGAGGGCAGCATTGCCGACAAGACCGCCCAGTGCTGCAAGAACATCACGGCCGTCCTTGAGGCCGCTGGCTCCGACATCAGCAAGGTTGTCAAGACCACCATCTTCCTCTCCAACATGGACTACTTCGCCGTGAGTACAACACTTCCCCACATGTGTTACTATGCTAAACATCTGTCTCTCAATAGGAGCTCAACACTGAGTACGAGAAGTGGTTCGCCCACAAGCCTGCTCGCAGCTGTGTTGCCGTCAAGACTCTCCCCAAGAACGTTGACGTCGAGATCGAGGCCATCGCTCTTCCCTAAATACCCAAATACTAGCTAAAAGAAAATACTGTTGGGATTCAAGGGGGACTGGTTGGGTTTCTCAAATTGAGAGAGGCTGTTGTTCCCTAGCTTTACGTTAGTCAATAGCAAACCAGTTCTGGTCAATCTTTCCCATCCCCTACTGCATCCGTCCAGATACACACAGTGGTGAATCGTTGATTCGAGCACATGTGACTCCAATCTCTTTCGTTTAGAAGATGATAGGCCTCTCTACAATTGCTGCTCCCCATATTTTAAGGAATGGTACAAAAAGTCAGGCCGCGACGTTATGAGTATTATGAATCATGCCACTACATCTCATGCAATGACAGCTCAGAGCTAGTGAGGTATATCATGATTGATTGCATATATATATATACTACTCGTATCACACAAATTCTAGAACGTGCTCAAATTCAACATGATGGCAAGTAGCGGGATGAGCGCCAGCTGGTCCCTCATTGATTTAAGTGCTATGCAACATGACTCCCTGGGAAAATATCTAGAGGGTCCACACGACAACACGACCATCGACACCGCTCGCTAGAAAAGGTCAGCAAAGACGAACAAATTATAGCTAGGGGGCAAGATTTCAACTTACAACTAAACTGGGTGACGCCGCTTTCGGTGGCCTGATAGGGTCGAATCACGGTCACGGTATTCTGATGGACAGTCTTGAGCTGGGTGTCATCCTTGGCCTTGCCCTTAAGATCCATCTGCTTGAACATCTGGAGAGCAGATTCCTCCTGTCTCTCGACGTGGGCCGGGCCCTTGGCCTCGACTGTACCGGCGAGCTGCCAGCCAGTCTCTCCACCACGGAATCGGAAAGCCTCGCAATCGTATCCCGCAGCGATGATTTCGTCTTCGTTGCTCCAGATCAAGCTCTTGAAGGGTAGGAGCTGGGTGGAGATGGTAACAACGGCAGCGGGAGGTTGGTCTGGAGCACTGGGGTAGATGACAGTGATGCTGCTGTCATGTGCCGCAAAGGCCAGGGTGTTTCCGCTGGGGGAGAAGGCGACAGAGTGCACCCATCCGGCGGAATTGTTCAAGTACTCTCCGCAGACGGTGTTGAAAGGCAGCCTCTCACCCCAAGCGGTGGGCTCGGGCCTCTGGTCCACGCCCTTGATGAAGCTGGAGAAGACACGGGCGTGCGCATCAGTCGATCCAGCGGCCAAAAGCACCGAGTTAGGGTGCCAGTCAACGCTGGTGATTGTGCTGCGGATGGGCTTCTTGAGGTGCTTCGAAACCCACCAGTCGTTCTCCTCCTCGAAGTAGCAGATGGCGATGACACGGTCACCAGAACCGACGGCGAACTTCGTCTCGGAAGGAGACCAACGCACAAATGTGGCAGCTCGGCTGATTCGAAGAAGGACGAGGGTGGGCTTGTACCCGGTAGGTGAGGGCTCCCATACGAGGGCATTGCGGTCTGTAGCTTATGGTTAGCTGGGCTATCTCGAGTAGAACACCGTAGTCAGTCAGGGGATGAACGGACCTTGGGAGCAAGACACAATTCTACCGCTGTTTGGGGCAATATCAACGCTAGTGACGGTCTTGTCGTGTCCCTTCAGCTCATCCAGGAGCTTGAACGCATTGCCGCTCCGGCCATAGAGCTCGACGGCATTGTCTCGGGCGACGGCGAGGGTGCTGTGGTCGGCGGAGAAGGAGTGATCCGCAATTGGATTGTGGAAAAGGTGATGGATCTCGGGCTTCGACATATTGGGCGATTCGTGGTGGGCAATAGGAGTAGCTCTCTACTATTGCGCAAGCGGTGTCTGATGTAGTGTAGTAAGTGTAGGCATTCAAGGTTGAGGCTTAGGGATGACGATGCATGGCGGGGTCTCCCAGAGCACCAGCGCTTGGGCCACACACCCAAACTCACCCAGCTGTAGGCGGCAAGCGCTAAAGGCTTCGGGAAGCTGGAGACTCAGCACTCTGGTCAAAAATTATACCCAGCAAGCAAACCAAGGACAAACGCGAGCCTATTCAATCAGCACCAACACATTCGCTTCGCCCATCGCACTAATTGAGGTTCCTTAGACGGCAGTTATTGCATTGCTCAAATAAGTTCAACACGTGTGCCAACTACCAATTCGACGCTCCAGGCCTCGACCCATTCCCAATACAATGGCGACCGCAGGCGTCACGCGGAGCCTTGTTCCCAATGCTTCACTTCCTGCCAAAGTCCAGCCTCTGGCTCCAAACCAAACGTACGTCACACAGGTTGCAGATTGAGTTAGATGGTTGTTAACATATACCAGGCTCTATATCACAAATCTTCCCTCGTCGAAGATACAAAAGGCCGATCTGCGAACCGCCCTCTATATGCTCTTCTCGACCTATGGTCCCGTCCTCGATGTAGTCGCGTTGAAAACTATGAGCATGCGCGGGCAAGCGCACATTGTCTTCAGAGATATCCAGTCGGCAACACAGGCCATGCGGTCATTAGACGGCCAATCATTCTTGGGGAAACCCCTGGTAAGCTTTTGGTTGACTTCTCCGAACTGCCTCTATCCTGTACTGACGGATTTGCTTTGGTGAATAGAAAATCCAGTACGCCAAGGGCAAATCCCACTTTGTTTCAAAGCTTGACGGTTCCTTCAAGCCTCCTAATGCATCTGGAGCCGCCGGTGTCGAACAGACGGAGCTACAGCAAAGCATTTTCAATGCGCCACCGCCAGGCGCCCCTACTTCCTCAAACAAAGCCGCGCCCGCAAAGCCTGCAGCTTCGGCCGATCAAGAAATGAAAGACGCCAGCACGTCTGAGAACCGAGGCCACAAAAGAACGCGTGATGATGACGATGACAGCGATTCGGACGTGGCTATGGAGGAAGACAGTGACGACGAATAGAGGATTTAGCCATATCGACTCGAGTTATGCGCAACTTGGCGAGACAGGCTTTGTCTGCTCTACTTAATGGTTGCCATTTGTCTGGGTACCCAAAGGCCCACACAGCCTCCCACGAGACCAAGCCAGATTGTGAGATATTCACTAATACGGCACTTGAAAGCCGACATGTTGTCCCCAGTTAAACAAGGGTGGACAAAGAACCATGGATCGCCCTTGACGGGATGATTCTATAGAAACAGTCGTCAGCAACCAACATTTCACATCCAGCCTGCAGCTTTCTCCTTCCCCCAACCTTCGCCGGCCTTCGGACTATTTTACTCACATCAAGGGATATGCCCCCAATGCCTCCATACCGGCGGAGACCTTCTTTGTACTGTTCAGGGACCAAATAACGAAACACGGTGTCAAGATCATACTGGGACTCTCCTGTGTCTAATCCTTGTATTTGGAACCACAGGCATGGCATCCGATACGTGGGGTGCAAGTGAATCTCATAGCAGACGATAGCTCCATCTCTCTGGATTACTGGTTTCCTCAAAACTGCCTACGCATCCAGTTAGCGATACTTTTAGTTCTAAGAGAAATGAATCTCATAATGCTTGACTCATCATGCCTGGTCAGATTCCTCAATTTCCATCATTTCTTGGTCGATCCCGCTCATATTCTCCCCTCTTTCATCCTTTCCGGATGATATGGTCAAACTCTCGAGGTCGATGTCGAGATCTTCTGGGTCGAGCGGCCGCGTGATTTCAATGTATGAATTTGGTACGTCCTGGAAGAGAAAATCTGCCTGGACCGCCATTCGCAATCTCAGTTTCCAGCGTTTTCGGAGAGGTCCCAGCTGGGCTCTGCAGTAGGCTCCGTCGAGATGGTGGCACGCCTCGAGGAACTCCTCCCCAGTGAGAGAGGGGAAGTTGGCTATTTCCATGCCTATAATCTTCAAGGTATCCAGTAGGGTAAAGCGAGACTTTCGCAAAGTTGCAACAGAAGTGAATTGATGTATTGTTTCCTTGATGTTGCACGGGTTTTTTCTCCTCGGTACTTGATTTGAATGAGTTTCAACTTCAAATCACACAAGAGTATTTCTGGTTTTCTTAACAGCGAATTACTCCATTCGCTCTTCGCCCTACCCTATACCCTCCCCGATCACCAACCACATAACACATCCACAACTCCTACGATCAGGATGCAGGATACGTTAATAATATTTTAAGTAGGTAGGTAGTTTAACAGGGGGGGGGTTAATTTCGAAATGAGTTAAACCGGTTCTAGTCCTCCTCATTTCTACTAAATTATTTGTCGGGAGTGGTCGGCAAGGTAGGTGTTAAAGCAACAAGTCTTTCCATTCAGTTATTTTACTTCCTCTCCATCCACACGGAGTGTTTTCGCGATATTATCATCACACCTGACCATGTATTTGTAGTTGATAGTTTTAGTCTCGCATCGACTGCATATGGTTATCTTAGCCATCCTAAGTGTGTCCAACGACACCATGGTGATATCCAAGAGAGGTTCAGCTAAACCGGAAACGGTAGTCAAACCCGCCAAGACTTCTACTACCTACTACCTCAAAGATGGTCCCAAAACATCTTAGCGTGAATTCGCTACCAGCTAGTCGGATTTCCATCAAATAGCCTATTTTACACTAACTTACCTACTCATGCGTACCACTTAACAACGAGACGAGTCGTCTCAAAGGCCATCACAATCACGTGACGAATCAACCATCCATCCAAGCATGTCTCGAAGCGGGCATTAGCACGCAACAATGAATCATGAACTGTCTGTACCTGATAATTTCTTGATTAATCGCAGGTTCAGGGCTGAATCGCTCTCGCCTCGGAGCAGAGATGGGTCCGCCGAAGGATCTCCGACCAAACCATGAGCCCCAACCGGACCATGAGCCTCAAACGGCATCGCACCAATGGCTTCTAGAAGATGGAACCCTGCGCTTAGATTGATAATGACACAAGGTGGAGCGCAAGCCGTGGAATCCGAACCCACAGGCTTTCCTATACTCCCCTTCTTATTTCTTCACAAAGAGGAAGCCATTTGGTGAGATTTGGAAGAGGTGCAAATCAATTTCATGATGTCACTCTCGAGCTGCCGCATCTCCCACGACGTTGCGCAACTAGAAATCCATCCCACCATTCAAGACTACGCACGACTCATCCAAACTGCCGAGTATGTCGCCGACTTGAAAAGATGAGGAGGGCTTGGGCAGAGAAAAGGCGCGACATGCCTTACCCACCGGCCGGAGCCATCTTGTTTCCACTATCCTCCTACAGGGCAAAGTAGCGCAACGACGATGACGAATTATGAAACCAGAGGCAAAATTTGACGACATCCTTATTATCATGCTCTCCCATTTAGGTAGGCCGTCCGGAAAAGGTCACCCAATGGCTAAATGGAGAGGGGACTAGCATCAGCCTTGCAAAGATCTCGGAACGAACACCGACGTCTGAAATCTGTTACGTTGGAGTCAGTCAGCTCGACTTTTCGGAGATTGGCACTCTTGCTTGGTAGGCACGTAGAAATATATAACTCCCCGATCCCAGCGGTGGTCCGAATGATGTCTTAGAGGATGCTTTCCAATCGGTTTTTTTTTGACAACCTCCATCACCATGCGTTCGGTGTCCAACTTTGGCCTTGTGGCCCTCTCCCTTACAGGCAGCGCTCTGGCTGCTCCGAGCAAACAAAGCTATGATTATATCGTAGTTGGTGGTGGACCAGCGGGAATCATCACCGCTGATCGCCTCTCCGAGACGAACAAGCAGGTCTTGCTGATCGAGAGAGGACCAGGTCCTACGATAGCAACAGGATCTAACCACTCCCTGGTTTGGAATGATACACTGACGCCCATTGATGTCCCTGGACTTACAACTGCGGTTGGTGGACTTGATCTCTGGAACGAGTACTCATGCAAGGATACTGCGGCTTCCGCTATGTGTGTTCTTGGCGGCGGTGCCACTGTCAACTATATGGTTTTCGTCCACCCACCGGCGAGAGACTTCGACGACAAGTGGCCCAAGGGTTGGAAGTGGAATGATATCGCCCCTGCTGCAGCGAAGTTTTACGAGCGCAACCCGGGTTCAAACACACCATCTGAGGATGGCCAGCGCTACGATCAGGGCATGTACGATACCTTTGCTCCCTTTTTCGACGGACTCGGCTGGAAGGCGACCGACATGTCCAAGGAAGCCGACGAGAAGCACCAGGTTTACAGCCACCCTACCTGGAACATCAAGAACGCCATGCGGGCTGGACCTGTGCGGACCTACCTGCCCTTCTCCCAGGCGCGCGAGAACTTCACTCTCCGCCTTGGCACCAACGTCATCCGTCTTGTGCGAAAGGGCTCGCGCGTGACGGGAGTCGAGATTGAGAACTCGGACGGAAGCCGCGAGATTGTCCAGCTGAACAGGAACGGAAGAGTGGTCCTGGCCGCGGGTGCCATGTCTACCCCCAAGGTGCTCTTCAACTCTGGCATTGGTCCCAAGGAGCAGATCCAGACCGCCAAGAAGACTGGCGTTACCCTGCCAGACGAGAAGGAATGGATTGAGCTTCCGGTTGGCAAGAGCTTCAAGGACCACAACATCTTCACTCTAAACATCCAAACCAACGAGACCTGGGGCCCTCTGGATAGCGACAGTGTCCTTGATGGAACCGATACCAAGAATATCGATCTTTATGAGAGTACTGGCTCCGGAATTCTCACCCAGGGAAGACACAGAATGATCATTTTTACTTCTAATGTTGGCAGCGATGGTGTGACTCGTTACTACCAAGGTTCAGCAGCCCCCTCGGACACTGGTCTGGTTTCTTTGAAGGTTTACCAGACCCATGGTCTGACCTCAGAGGGTGTTTTGGGATTGGCGGCAGACGGAAAGACGACAGTTGTGCAGAGCCCTTACCTCCAGACCGATGGCGATCGCGAAGCAGCTACCGCCCTCGTCGACAGCCTCGTCAAGGATATCACATCCAACAAGGGTTTCCAGATTGTCGGCTACACCAACACGTCCGCGGTCATCAACGCCGCGACTGGGGGCAATCACTTTGTCGGCACCACAAAGCTGGGAACTGACGACGGCCGCAAGGGTGGTTCCTCTGTCGTTGACACGAATGCCAAGGTCTACGGGACGGACAACCTGGTGAGTGGCTTGGATCCAGGCATGGATGTAAGAGAGAAAGGCTAACATATATTCTAGTTTATCACGGATGCCAGTATTCACCCCGACCTCCCTTCCGGCAACAGCCAGGCCATTGTCATGGTTGTTGCTGAGGCAGCAGTGGAGAAGATTCTCGCCTGTTAGGTATAAAGATGGACACTGATGGCGAAGGATAAAAGTAGGCACACAATGTAACCAGAGAGTGTATATATCAGCCTGGTCGCTGCTACAATTACTGTATAGAGTTTTTTGCAATACATAAGTGTACTACTGGATATTGTCCTATATATCGCTGGAAGAGGCACTCGAATGCTCGTGGCTGCCAATAGTGGCTTTTGGGGTGAGACATAGAAGTCTACTAACAACGGCCGTAGCTATCTGGGCTTGGTGCACCGCAGCCGCTATCCGCCACCTAATGTATTCTAGCCTTATTGACTCAATGTATTTAGATGTCTTTAATTGTTTGAAGAAAAGGGATAAATGGATGTGTGCTTGATTGGCTGGGCGAGCAGTTGTCGAAGTATTTAACAGTGGGTACTCTCACTGCCAAGCAGCGCTACCGACCGCTGTAACCACCCCAAACAAGTGCCAGCGCCAGTCGCGTACAACTTTGATAAGTGCTAGGTGGCCGCATCGCATTCTCCTTCCACACCTGCGCCTTTGTTTCTCAGTCGCCTGCGCGGACACCACGGAGGAAGTTGGTTTCCTTGGGAGGGATCGTTGCTTTTTTTCTCTTTATATTTTCTGTTCTTTGCCCTCGAAGCGTTGTATGTTGTATATCAATTGTTCCTCTTCCTTGTACGATACGATATGATACAGCCAGTCCCATGATCCGCGACCCCTTCGATATCCGCCGAAAGACCGTTTTCAAGGCACCGGCCTCACCACTCTCACAGCACTTTGGAGACAGCAAGGACAAGGTTGGCTCAAGCGAATCCGACAAAATGGCCTTCGACGTCCCTCGGAACGTCCCCAACTTCGAGGCCACCAGTCGAGATCTCGAGGACACGGCCTGGTCCTCGCTGCGAGGAAACCCGACGAGGAAGGTTATGCACGAGGTCAAGGACCGGGTCAATGGCATGTTTGACAAGGACTCGCTGCCAATGTACAAAGATAAACCATTTCACCACACACCGACGCATAGGAACCGTCGCTGGTGGAGGAAGAAGCGGAATCTGCTTGGCATTACCCTGGGCTTCGTCTTTCTACTGTACCTTCTAGGCTTCTTCTCGTCCTCGAGAAAGAAGGCCGAGACTGGGGAGCGTTCGTGGCCGTGGGAGGCGTCCTCGGGAGACAATGTCGATTGGGATGCAAGGCGCAAGAAGGTTGTGGAGGCTTTCGAGTTGAGCTGGGATTCGTACGAGCGTTATGCCTGGGGTACGTAGGAACCGAGCAATCCCATCATCGCACAGACGGAACGGGAGGGACTGACAGCGCATATCTTAGGCTATGACGAGTACCACCCTGTGACCAAGACGGGGAAGAACATGACCCCGCAGGGCATGGGATGGATCATCATCGACTCGTTGGACACAATGATGTTGATGAACTTGACTTCTCGCATCCAGCATGCCAGGGAGTGGATATCCACGAGCCTGACTTGGGACCAGAACCAGGATGTTAGCACTTTCGAAACGACCATCCGAATGCTGGGAGGCTTGCTCTCCGCTCATTACCTGTCGACTGAGTTCCCCGAGCTTGCGCCACTCCCGGATGAGGGCCCTGGCAGCCTTGGGGAGGATCTTTACCTGGAAAAAGGCAAAGACTTGGCCGACCGCCTAATGAGTGCCTTTGAATCACCCTCTGGAATCCCTTACTCCAGTGTCAACTTGGAGAAGTTCAAGGGTATCCCTTCGCACGCTGACATGGGCGCAGCCTCGACGGCAGAGGCTACAAGCGTGCAGCTCGAATTCAAGTATCTGGCCAAGCTTACTGGTGAAAAGTATTACTGGGACAAGGTGGAGAAGGTCATGGAGATTGTTGACGAGAACAATGTCAAAGATGGGCTCGTTCCCATCTTCATATACGCCACCAATGGCGAATTTACGGGTGAGAACATTCGACTTGGCAGTCGTGGAGATTCCTACTACGAGTATCTCATCAAGCAATATCTCCAGACGAACAAGGAGGAGCCAGTATACCAGGAACTATGGAAGGAGTCCATGCACGGGATCCGCAAGCACCTCCTCACTTACACCGAGCCATCTGGCTTTACTATTGTAGGCGAGCGACCAGGTGGAATTGATGGCCCCCTGTCACCCAAGATGGACCATCTCGTTTGTTTCCTGCCCGGAACTATTGCCCTTGCAGTCACGGAAGGCCTTACTGAGGCGGAAGCCCGCAAGCTGCCTTCGTGGTCCAAGGAGAAGGAAGCGGATATGAAACTTGCGCGAGAGCTCACGCAGACATGCTGGGGCATGTACAAGTACATGGCGACGGGCCTGGCAGCCGAGATCACGTATTTCAACATTGCCAACCCCCCTGCCTCCGCCAATGCCGCCCACAACCCTCCGGAGCACTTTGATCCAGACCCCCACGCGGAGTGGCGCAAGGACTTCAGCGTCAAGTCAGCAGATGTACACAACCTGCAGCGACCAGAAACTGTAGAGAGTCTGTTTTACATGTGGAGGATCACTGGTGATGTCAAGTATCGCGAATGGGGCTGGGAGATGTTTGAGTCATTCCTGGAACACACTGCCGTTGAAGACAACGGAGGATTCACTAGCTTGTCGAATGCGAACGTTGTTCCACCAAGAGTCAAGGACAACATGGAAAGCTTCTGGCTGGTATGATATTCACGACAACCCCCTTCTTTTCAAGCACAGCAATGACTAACCCTGAAATCTAGGCCGAGACATTGAAATATTTATACCTACTGTTCTCGCCCAACGACCTTCTCCCCCTCGACAAGATCGTGTTGAACACTGAGGCTCATCCTCTGCCTCGATTCAACATGGGCAAGCTTTTCTCTACCGGGTGGAAGCGCCTGCCCCGGGACGCACAGGGAAATCTCATTACTGAAGATGTAGATGTCGATGCAGATGCAGGTGCAGATGATGCTTAAATAGACCAATTGTTGTCAATTTATAAATATTGTTTCGCTACGAATATACCACGCTTGTCGTCCTTTTTTTTCTCCCGTGATAAATATACCACGCTTATTATCCTTTTTTTTTTTTTTCCGTTATAAACATACCACGCTTGTTATATCTCATCTTAATCAAAGTTTTCAAACTTGTCCTTCTCCCTCTCCCACTTGTTTTCTTCACGCATCGATACTTTCATGCGCAACAAATTTAGGTGGGCGTGGAAGAACCAGTCGACCCATTCCTTTCCGTAGCCTTGGGTGTACAAGGCCTCGGGGCTGTTAGCGATGAAGGCCGCGCACCAGATGAAGTCGGCTGACCACTCCCACCCGTTCATGGTGGCGTCGAGGGTCACGACGCCGAGGAGGGCCCGGAGGTTGTAGTGAGCCGCGTTGCCCGGGTGGTCGATCCGCTCCCGGAACAGGCCCATCTCGGCCACGATGCTGCCGAGCTTGGTGTGGCGCTCCTCCATGACCAGGTTGTAGATGCTGACGACGTCGACGCAGCAGAGGGGATCGAGGCCCAGGTCGACGCCCAGCTTATGCTGCAGGCTCTCGGGGCGCGACTCCGGGTTCGAGACGACGACGACGTAGTCCCGGCCATAGACGATGTCGGCGACGCAGGCGGGCAGCTGCTCGGGCGTGATGACCGTCGAGTGGCCAAAGTTGAATCTGCAGTCGCTGCCCGTGACGCCCCATTTGTCGGCGACGAGGCAGAAGTGGTAGGACCTTACGGCGCACAGGGCCCACTCCTCATCCCTTCTGCCGGTTTTCAAGCCATTGTCGAGGTAGCGGGTGTCGAAGACGGAGATGCCGACGTCGACGTAGCCCTGGTCCTGGATCGTGGATGGGCAGATGCTCACGCTCAGGAAGAGGACATCCCTCATGTCTCTCACGTGGGATTTGGGGATATAGTTTCCAAGATCTCTCTTCCTCATCAAGTCCCTTGGGTGATAGCCAAAGATTGATCGGATGTTTGCCAGGGCACGCCTCTCATCGCCAACTGGGCGTAGGGATGTATACATGGGAGGATTGGACTCATGGGAAGGGAGGCGAAGCTCAGGCTTAGAGCCTTCCAAAAGACTGGGATAAAGGGGATTGAGGGTGGTTAACCATGACTCCTTCTTCGGCTGATCCATTTCTCTTGGAGTGACAGTGCCTTGAGCTTAAGGATGAGGGTGTATACAAAGATATGTTGAAGTGTATATGTGAAAATAGAAAACCTTGGTGTTCAGGAGGAATGATTGATGTCGAGATATCTTAAGCGTAGATGTGTGAATTAGAGAACCTTTGGGTTCAGTGTGACTGATGGATGTATTGATGTCTTGAGGTGATCGAGAGTGAAGAAGTCCCTCGGGGGTTATGGAAGATTATTTGATACAAATATATCTTGAAGTGAGTAGGTAGGTGTCAAGTCTGAAGAAGATACTTGAGAATTGATGTTGAGGGATGAATCTTTCTGAACGAACGAGGAGGAGGGAGACTCGCCTTTTGTAGACAAATTGGAACGACTAGAGAATCAAAGTTCTCTATTCGAATTTTCTTTTTCGAGAAGCAAAGTTTGCCATCATCGTCGTTGCCTTTGCTAGAGACGCCCGAAAGCTATAGCGAGGGAAGGAGGAGTCATTATCTTATGAAGTTAACAATAAACTAACATCGTGTGTGTGACTGAATGAAAAGCATAATTCGTAGGAAAGTGTATGTAAAGCACGGGAAGTATATTTTTGAACTAGATAATGAAGTGCTGGTTGTGATTCCCATGTTGTGATGGAGGATTTCTTTCGGCAGCTTGAACATTTGAGCCAGGTACACTTGGCCAGCTTGAACATGCATGACTTGGAAATTGAAAAAAACATAGTGAAATTTGACTGAAATTTCTAGATATTTTATGTGCTTCAACAAGTAAAGAGATTTTGGCGTCTCCGATTTTATGTCGAGATCGTGTGCAGTGACAGTTTCGATGGCCTCGGCTTTCGCGAATCCCGAAATTTCCAGAAGAAAAAAATAATAAGTGCATTTTCCCATGAGCTTTTAGCTATAAGCGTGAAGCTTCGTCTTAGATCCGTGTTGTTTCTGTGCTTTAGGCAGATGGTGGCTTGAGGATGTTTGTCACTTACAACATGAGGCTATAGTATATTCCCAAATAGGTAAGAGTGGAGCGTCTGTTGCTGTTTACCAGGCTAAGTGTGGGGTAGTACCGCTACTTAAATATGTGCTTAGAATACCCTTTAAGGTGGAGCCTTGCCGCAAAAATTAAGTACTGGAAAGTCCCGTTCTGTAGAGGAACAATAGCTGTTTCGGGTGGATCAATGGCCCTCTGACTAAGACACTTTGGGGCTGCCTCAGATCAACCCACACGCGAGTAATGAGAGCAGAGCTGGGGTGATGATAAGGCTCGGGCCCTCATTGTCCAATTGCGCCTAGCCGAGATACCATGTTTCCTCACCTCGGCTGCCATTCCAGGGACCTTTGCTTATCATTGCATTTCTTCCCTGTATAGTTCTTCAATTGGGGGGGATTCTTTATCGTCCTGCTGCTCCTGGCCTGTGCGTTTGCGGGACATGAGGGCGCAGACTGTTACACACACCCCCAAACCCAAACCTTGGCTCGCATCTTGCAGCTCACATGTGCCTCGTGGATGCGGCCACCCACACACCCTGTCTTGGTCGCTCCAACTCTAATCAACTTCGCCAACTTCCGCTCCCTTAGGCGCCCTCCGGTGGAACGATAGAACAACTCTCTGGATGAGATGCGCCTTCGAGTCGCAGAGATCCTCCCGCACTGAATGATCCCTGCAATATCGTCATTCCTTTCTGATCCGTCGTATGGGCCTGGCCCTGGCCTGCCCGCCCGCACTCTCGACGAGTCCCGCCACCGAACCAAGTTCATAGCAGCAGTCGGGGTTGGCCAATACGCTCGCCCCCAATTTCCGTGGCCATGGCTCCGCGCCGTGACATTGAACTGGGCACTCTCAACAGTATCAAACTCAAAGACGATACCCTCACACAGGGGAGTTCCTACAGCATGAGAGAGCCCGATTTCGGCGACGGCATACCCCCCAAGCGCTTCGAGCGCTTCATCGATGGCTTCAAGCGCGACCCGGCCTCCAACTTCTTTGGGAATGAGAACTTCAACCACCACGAGAATGCCTCCTTCCGCGAGCACGACGGCGCGCATTACTACGACCTGCGGCTCGCCACCCTCGAGACGGTACAGACGGGCCTGGCAAGGAAGCTGAAGGGGCGCCACCTTCAAATGATCGCCATTGGAGGCTCGATAGGTACCGGGCTATTCGTGGCCTCTGGCAAGGCCCTAGCTAATGGCGGGCCCGCGTCTCTATTGCTCGCCTTCTCAATCGTGGGCGCCATGCTATATTGCACATGCCAGGCTTTGGGCGAGCTTGCCGTGCTCTTCCCTATAGCTGGGTCCTTCTCGTCCTGGGCGACTCGCTTTCTGGACCCTTCCTGGGGCTTTGCCATGGGGTGGAAGTAAGTTTGTCCAGAAATCTAGACCTCGCCCCAGGTGTGTCTCGCTAACAATCGGGCTGTTCAAGTTATGCTATGCAGTGGCTGACTGTTCTGCCGCTGGAGATAATTGCGGCTGCCATGACGATCGGCTACTGGGACGAGAGGCTCACCCGAGCAATCTTTGTCACAGTGTTCCTTACCGTAATCATCCTCATCAATATGTTTGGCATCAAAGTATATGGTGAGGCTGAATTCATCTTCTCCATCATAAAAGTGGTTGCTGTGATAAGCTTCATGTCAGTATTATTCATGCCCTTCACCTGACTCTCCCTCCGTTCGGGCGTCCCCATCTCTTTTCCTTATTGGAACGATCCAAAGTCTAACTGATGGGCCCGCCCTAGACTCCTGGGTATTGTCTTGAACTTGGGTGGAACCCCGGATCGCGGCTATATTGGAGGCGAATACTGGCACAACCCAGGCGCTTTCAAGAATGGCTTCAAGGGTCTGTGTAGTGTCTTTGTTACAGCGGCATTCTCTTTTACCGGCACGGAACTTGTCGGGCTTGCGGCTGCTGAGACTATCAACCCCCGAAAGTCGCTCCCAACAGCCATAAAACAGGTATTCTGGAGAATCACCATCTTCTATATTGCGGCACTTACTCTTGTCGGTCTTCTTGTTAAACACGACAACCCTCGGCTTACCGATGGATCCAGCGACGCTGATGCCAAAGCCTCCCCATTCGTCATCGCAATCGAGGCGGCTGGTATCCAAGTTCTCCCATCCGTGATGAACACCGTCATCCTGATTGCAGTCCTGTCAGTGGGCAACTCTGCCGTGTTCGGTTCCTCACGAACCCTTGCCGCTCTCGCCAACCTCAACCAAGCGCCCAAGTTCCTCGCATACATCGACCGAAAGGGACGCCCCCTCGCGGCACTGGGCGTCGCCGGCGCCTTCGGATTCCTCTCGTTCCTCGCCGACCTCAGCGCGCAAAACGACGTCCTCGACTGGCTGCTCGCAATCTCCGGCCTCTCCTCCATCTTCACCTGGGGCTCCATCTGCCTGTGCCACATCCGCTTCCGCCACGCCTGGGCCGCCCGCGGCCGCACCACGGCCGAGCTCCCCTTCCGCTCCCAGGTCGGCGTCCTCGGCTCGTGGGTAGGGCTCATCATGAACATTGCCGTGCTCGCCGCCCAGTTCTGGGTCGGGGCCTTCCCCATCGGCTGGACCCAGATGACCTCGGGCGAGATCGCCAGGTCCTTCTTCCTCAGGTGGATGGGCGGGCCCATCATCCTCATCTTCTACGTGCTCCATAAGCTCTTCTATCGGACGACCATTGTCCGCACGCGGGACATGGATGTCGACACCGGCCGCCGGGACTTCAACGTCCCCATCCTGCACGCACACGAGGAGCAGGAGCGCTCCGCGTGGCCGACCTGGAAGAAGGTTTACAAGTTTCTTTGTTGAAGGAGGGAATCAACACTTTCCAAAAATCGCATTTTATTATTATTATTATTATTATTCAACAGCTGGGGTATGGTACTATATATTGATGTTTTCATGATGGATGGCGTATGACTAAATGGGTGGGAATAATGGTCTTATTTGGGGTTTCTCGAGAGTTGATTTCAACTTGGATCCGGTAGCGTGCTTTCTTCTTCTTTCATCTTGCCTGAATTTACAACGGGTTACCGCATCCCGAGATGTATTTTTGTCCGCCTAGATCTTCGTGACATGAGACGATATCGGATCTCACTCATCGGACTGTTCTACTTATACATGATGTTGTGTATCAGTACCCAATTACTGTGCCCCTGGCTGTTGTGATGATGACTTGGTGTATATTTTGAACTTTTTTCTTTAGAGTTTTCTGTTACAGTGCTCTATCAGACAGACCTAGACTAGGTAAGGAGTACATACAAAGGGGCTCTCTGATAATCGTGCTAGTATGGCATGAGCTAAGGAAATGTGAAAAGGACGACGAACAGTATCTCCCATGAATCATGAGTGACAAATTTGTAGACATGTAATCATCAATAGCAACTCCGCGCACAACGGCTCCCCCAAGGATTGTTATAGCCCCCGGCGTATGACCTATCAAACACGCCAACCGTAATTTTACAACACACGCTGCTATTCTAGTTTAAAAATCCCAGAAACTCCTCTGCTGAGATGTGAGGCCCGTCTTCCGTGTGGGGGCAGGCTTGGGAGCCTGCTGCTCTGCTTCCTCGCCGTAGAGCCAATCTCGGTTGGTTCCTTTTCGGCCTCCCATTCCGTCACCGGCAATGTGAATACGAGAGTCATCCTTGGCTGTGGGGGCCCCTGTCTTGTTCTCCTTTTGCTTGGGGGACTCGTCGTAGGCGGACCAGTTGGCGCCCATCATCTTGACAGCCTTTTGGCGCCCCTCAGGAACATGTTGCGATGCAGGGGCCTCTTCGTCGGCGGGATCATCTGTCATGGTGAAGTGAGGGTCGAAGTCCTTACCACGGTGAGCCAGGTTGGTAATGTTGCCCAGGGCCTGTTTGGGGTCTGGGCTGGCACCCTCTTGCAGAGTTCGGTCCTTGTAGAGATTTAATTGATCGTTGTGAACCGAGCCACGTTGGCGCATGTTTTTGTTGTTGGGGTGGACAACCCTCTCCCCATCGTCCTGCAGCTCGAAATGCGACTCGGCATCGCGACGACCCTTGCCAGCTGGTGGGGCAGGGGTCTCCCCCTTGAGAACCTCTCGATCAGTGTCCCAGTGCCTGACATCCTGGTAACGAACACCCTTAGAAGGCTTCGGCTTTGAGGGAGTGACGAAATCTTCGAAATCCCACTGGCTGTCATGCTTGGACTTTGTACGCTTGTCAATCGTGACACCAGCCTCAGGGGCATCCTGTGGGTCAGATCCGTCGGCGAAATCAAAGTGCTGGAACTTTCGTGGGTTGGGGCGGATGTACTGGCTCGATGGGCGTCCTTTGGGAGTGTCTTCGTCCTCGGGGTGCTCCTGTTCCTTGTCAAACAAACGCATGGGCTGGAAGTTCTTGCCCTGGCCAGCCTTTGCGGGTGAAACAGTGGAATGCCTGTTGGCGCTGGGAGAATCCTCTTCCTCTGGCTCGTCGCCCAGGATCTGAGTGAAGGATCTCTGCTGAGGGCGTTTGCCGCCGAATGGAGAAACTACCGACGCCATAGACTCGTTCTCAATCTCCTCCCTCGAGGCCATCATATGTAAAGTGGCGTGGGGGTCACGGAGGGCATGTGTAGAGTTTCCTCGCGCTCGGTTGAGGTGTTCGTTTTGGTTTTGCGGGATACTAGCAGCTCCGGTTCCAGCCGCAATGGCCTTCTGGCAGCTCTGGATCAACTTGATCTGTTCTCTGTTGTCCTTGATAGGCCAGTTTCGACCGGACTTTCCAATGATCTCAATCTGCTTGAGCAGCGCACCCTGGTCCCACTGGAGACGAATCTGCGAAATCTTGCCGGCCGCGTTGAAGAAAACGAGATGAGTCTGTATTCGATTGAAGTTAGCGCATGGCAGTAGGTAGGCATTCTGGAAGGATACATACAATCGGCAGGTATGCGACACGGTCGCTCAAGAAGTTGTCGTCGAGACCGGGTAGGTAGGCGCCTCCGCTCGTGAGAAACTCGAGTGTGGTGTCAACTTCGACAACAGCCGCGGACTCGCCCTCGATGACAGTGAGGATGTCCTGCTTCTTGATCTTGACCTGTCTATGCAGCGAGTTCAGGTGCTTGATGACCTCGGCTGCGCCAGAGAAGGTGGTAGTGGTTGGAACATAATGCAGCGACGCGTTGTCAGCCAGCAGCGAGGAGCTGGGCGAGGTCAGGAACTGGTTGTATGCCGCCGCCATAATGCGCGCCACGGAGTGAGTCGAACGCTCGGGGGTCTGGATGTTGAAGGCAGATGGCGCAAGGGCGATGTCGTCGTGCAGGAGACGTGGGCGCGAGAGGCTCCTTGTCAACCTGGGATTCGGTCTGACGGCGAGGGATGGCGGATAGGAGGAGGATGGTGAGCAGGAAGGTGAGGGTGGGTGGCGGGTGGTCTGTTTTATTAGTACCGCTTTGGTACGCCGTTGCTACCTGCCAGCCGACTAGAAAGGCCGGTACTAAGTAAACAATAACACGTGGGGATGGGCTGGGGAGGCAGAAGTACAAATTTGTGCGTCGCCTTTCCCAAAGCTGCTGGTTTGATCAAATTTCGGTTTGCGACTACAAGGGTGAAATCATCTAGATGTAGGAGAGCCAGTACAAATACGTCCCTAGTTGGACATTTCTGAATACAAAAGGAGTCGCAAGGTCTCAGTATGTATGCAGGCCTCCGCTCCTGGCCGTTCATCCTCGACCCAAGCCTGCCTCTACACCCTCTACGGACCCTGTTTGCGGGTAAAATGAAAGGATGGAGAAGGGGTCCTAGCACAGGTCTGAACGCCAACCGACGACGCATTACCAACTGGCTGCGGCCGTTGACTTCAGGCAAGGAGGCCCTCCAGTTTCTCTGCCAGATGACAGGGCAGACAACGCTGTTTGTGAGTATTGCATTGATCTAACACCGGTCGAGGAACGCGCTGGAAGGGGCAACAATGATCCTCGGGCCCTCCTGTGCCAGCAAGTCGAGCGAGAGACGCGTCTGCCAAGGCACAGATATAGAGTGAGCATAAGTGGAGCTGTTTCATGTTTTAGGCTAGTGTCGAGATCATTTCTGGCTTGTACCTGCCTTAGATCACTGCTTGGCCCTCAGGCTCTGCCAAGGAATGCAATGCTTTCTTGTTCGGTGAGCTTTACATTTATGCCATGAATTATCTTTGCCGGGGTCGATCAGAGTCAATGCATCATCCATCTGCATAACACTTGCCTACCTACTTGGGTAGCTATCCGTGCAGTTGGTTGGTTTGCAGCCTGTTCTATCCACGTCAGATGCAAGTCACTACTTGGGGTAGCTTATCTAGTGCACAGCGCCGAAATTCCACGAATATCTCATCCCAGTTGACGGAAGGGGGAAGGAACAACTTAATAGTCGCTTCCAATTTCTCAACCGAGAGCGCCCCAAGCAAACCGTAAAAAGAGCTGCAAACGGCTTCTTCAATGAGTTGCTCAAGCTTAAAAAGGGTGCCTAACAGCATGCGCCACAGCTCTATCTTAGATGGAGCTGCAGTTACGACTGCGCCACACTCAGGTAACCGTATCCGCCCCTCCCGGCCTATGGTGAAGCAGTACGTAGCGTGAACGGCAAGACGTAGCACTGGTGCACGTCACCTCTTTCTACCAACACTCAGCATCTCACTCGCGAGACCCCCAAGAAAGCGCACAACTCGGCATTGCGATTCGAATTCCAACCATCCCGTCATCAGCCGTGGCACCTCATTCGCTTCTATACACTCTTCCATGATCTTCCCACTTTCCGCGCCGATAAGATGAGGTTCGGGGGCAAGGCTGCAGCCTCATGGCGCATCCAGCTTCTAACCATAGCTGGGGTGCTGCTCTCAGCTGTGGTCGCCAAAGATAGCCCGACTGTGAAAACGACGTCGATGAGCAACCCGCCGCATGGCATCAATTATTTCGAGGATAGCGACACCATCGTCTTCTGGGATTACGAGGAGGGCAATGTCTACCGATCCGATGACGCAGGCGTCACCTGGAACACAGTCAAAGGCGTCCCTGACGGCATTGCAACCGGTCTGATCATGCATCGATACGAACCAAAGACAGCTTTCATTTTGACAGATAGCAAGAAGCACTTCAAGACCGAGGACCGAGGCGCGTCCTGGACGACGTGGAACAGCGCCAGCATTCCCAGCTTCTATGAAGATGTTCTTAGCTTCCACGCCAGCGACCCTAAGCGAATAATCTTCAACGGCATGTCCTGCGAAAGCATCTTCTGCTCGAGGGAGGCCAAATATACCACCGACGGTTTTGAATCTGTCCATACTCTTCGTCCCTCCACTGCTGGCTGCCACTGGGCCAAAGCTTCTCCCGAGTTCACCACTGGCGATGACGACCTTGACAAGAAGAGGACAATGTGCATTGTTGCCGAGGGATTTGCTTCAACCATCGATGACCAAAAGCTGCGCATTTCAGACTCTTTCTTCGAATCCAATGATGGCAAGATCGCCGAGTTCGAGCCCAAGCTGGATTCCAACAAAGAGGTTGATGGTGTCGTTAACCTGGCAGTCGTCAAGAGCTATCTCCTTGTGGCTACTTCTTCCAGCTTGGTGGACGAAATGGTACTCTATGTATCCAAAAACACGCAGACGTGGCACCGTGCCATTTTCCCCACAGCTGAAAAGCACGATCATTCGCATATACTTACCGAGGCCTACACCGTCCTTGAGAGCACCAACTCGAGCATTCAAATCGACGCTCTAACCTCGCACCCATCTCATCCCATGGGTGTCTTATTCACCAGTAACTCGAATGGTACCTACTTCAACGAGAACCTAGCATATACCAACCGAAACAAGAGGGGTCATGTTGATTTTGAGAAGATCAGCGGGATCCAGGGTGTATATCTGGTCAATGTGGTTGAGAACGGTCACGATGTTGATGAGAAAGGCGCCGATAAGAAGGTTGTGAGTAAAATCACGTTTGACGATGGCCGAACCTTTAGCAACATCAAGGCTGGTGAGGAAACTATCCATGTCCATTCCGAGACTGAGCTTGATAATACAGGACGTGTGTTCTCAAGCCCCGCTCCTGGACTGGCGATGGCCAACGGCAACACCGGGGACCAGCTGGGCGACTTCACGAAGGCCAATCTATATGTCTCGGACAATGCTGGGGTGACCTGGAAGGAGGCGCTCAAAGGTCCCCACAAATATGAGTTTGGTGATTCAGGTTCAATCTTGGTTGCTGTTAAGGACTCTAGGGATTCAGACATCGACGAATATTCCTACTCCCTCGACCACGGCGAGAATTGGAAGTCGGAGAAGCTTCCTGACGGACTCAAAATCAGACCCGCCATTCTCACCACAACTCAAGACTCAACAAGCCTGAAATTCCTTCTTCTAGGTGTAAGCGGCGGCTCTTACCATTTCATCGCCATCGATTTTGAAGGTCTCCATGAGCGCACTTGTGGCGATGACGACATGGAAGATTGGCATGCTCGTGTTGACTCTGATGGAAACCCCACTTGCCTCATGGGCCACAAGCAAACATATCGCCGCCGCAAGAAGACTGCCGACTGCTTTGTCAAGAGCGACTTCAAGGACCCAGTCCCTAAATATGAGAATTGCGAATGCACAAATGCCGATTTTGAATGCGATTACAACTTTGAGCGCAACGGAGAAGACCGTAGCGAATGTGTCAAGGTAGGACCTATTGCGCGACCTGAGGGTGTCTGCGGAAAGCCAGAGGATACATTCAAAGGAAGTTCTGGCTGGAGGCTGATTCCCGGCAATACTTGCGACCGGGTCGACGGCGCGCAGAAGGATGATCCGGTAGAGAGAAAGTGCTCTGATGCCATCTCCGCCCCGTCTACTCCCGCCAGTGGAAAGGTATCAATGAAGACGTTCGAATTTGATACGGACATGAAGGAGATGCAAAAGATACACCTTGAAAGGGGCTTTTCCAGTAACGATGAGACGGTCATTGCTCGGGGCGCCTCACACCTAGTAGACGGCAATCTACAAATTGACAAGAAGGTCTGGCTGTCAAGCAATCAAGGCAAAGATTGGACTCGCATCCTTGAAGGACAAGATATCTATGGTATTTATCCCCATCGTTATTTCCAGGATATTGTTTATTTCACCACGCCGACGAAAAAGGTCATCTACACCATTGACAGAGGCCAAACCTTCCACAGCTTTGAGGCTCCTGAACCTCCAAAAGGTTCCCTGCCGCTGAGCTTTCATCCTGAGAAGAGGGATTGGCTCATCTGGCGTAGCGAAAAATGCGACAAGGGACTGAGCGGCTGCATTGAGCAAACATGGATATCTCTCGACCGTGGTGACGACTGGACGACCCTTCACCGCTACGCCAACAAGTGCGAATTCACTGGAAGTTCTTCCTATAGGAATCGCAATTTGAAGCAGGTGGTTTGTCTTGCTCGAACCGAAGAAAATAACGACGCCCCTTTCACTGTTAGGTCAAGTGATGACTTCTTCCAAGAAGACATTACAAGCTTCGATGGCCAAGTGACCAACTTTGCAACGATGAACGAGTTCATTGTGTTGGTTAGGGATGCAACCGATAAAGAGGACCTGCAGTCTTTTGCAAGTCTCGACGGGAAACATTTTGAGAAAGCCCAATTCCCTCATGACTTCCATAAAAACCATGACAGCCAGTACACTTTGCTGGATAGCTCGACGCATGCAGTTAATATGTTTGTCTCGGCAGAACCATCTGCTGATTGGAACTATGGCTCCATCGTCAAGAGCAATTCGAATGGTACATCGTACGTGGTGAGCGCTACCAATGTCAATGCAAACGCAGCATCCTTTGTCGACTTTGAGAAGGTCCAGGGTCTCGAAGGTGTTGCAATTATCAATGTTGTTTCCAACAGCGATAGTAAAAAGGACAAGAAGAAGGAGATACAAACCAAGATCTCCCACAACGACGGTGCTCGATGGAGCTATCTCAACCCTCCACACAATGACGCGGATGGCAATCCCTACAGGTGCAACAGGTCGGGGGGCAAGTCATGTGCCTTGCACCTCCACCACTACACGGAGCGCGAGGATCGAAGGAAGACTTTCGGCGCTCCCACAGCTGTCGGCCTCATCTTTGGAGTCGGAAACGTCGGGGCGAAACTGGAGTCTCTTGATGACGCAGACACCTTCATGTCGGCCGATGCAGGTATCACCTGGACAAACGTCAAGAAAGGTCGCTGGACATGGCAGTACGGTGATCAAGGGTCTATCATCACCCTGGTACAGAAGTCTACGCCCAAGAATAAGGTCAAGACCAAGAGTATCTCATACTCGGTGGATGAGGGTAAAACGTGGACCGACTTTGAGTTTTCGGATAAAGAGGTCACTGTTCAGGATCTCACAACAACAACATCCGGCACATCCAGGAACTTCATCGTCTGGTATCAAAGCGATAGCAAACTCCACGCTGCTAACATTGATTTCACCGGGCTGACCGATCGCCCCTGCAAGACCATCGATGAGGCAGATTCCGACTATACCTTGTGGTCGCCAAAGCACCCTACGCAAGACAACGATTGTCTCTTTGGTCATGTCGCCAAGTACCTACGAAAGAAGCCAGAGAGTAACTGCTACAACGAGAAGAGTCTGAAGCGGCTCTACGGGTATGAGGATTGCCGTTGCTCACGCCAAGACTTTGAATGGTAAGTACATCTGATCTCCCAATACTTCTAGCCCGATTTGATGATTCAAAACTAATGTTGCATCAAAACCAGTGCGTACAATTACGAACTTGACAGCCACCAGCAGTGCTCGTTGGTAAAAGGCCTTTCACCACTTTCTGGGAAAGAATGGTGCGAAAAGAATCCCAACGCCACGACGTGGTTCGAGCCAACCGGCTACCGCAAGATCCCTTTGTCGACTTGCAAGGGAGGCGAGCTCGACCAGACCACCAAAGAGCATCCATGCGAAGGCTTCGAGGAAGAGTTTGAGCGCAAGCATCGCACATCTGGAGTTGCCATTTTCTTTGCCGTGGTGATCCCCATTTGCCTGGCCGGCACAATTGGCTTCTATGTCTATCGCAACTGGACCGGCAAGTTTGGACAGATCCGGCTCGGTGACAACCAAACGTCCACTTTTGATAGCGATCAGCCATGGGTCAAGTATCCTGTCATCGCTATCTCGGCCGTCGCGGCAGTAGTGGCATCCCTACCCCTCGTTTTCGCCAGCCTATGGCGCAGCGCCTCGGGCGTATACGAAAGACTGGGCGGGCGATCTCGCCGTGGCTGGGCTAGCGAGCGCAGATTCACGACCAGGGATAGCTTTGCCCGGGGTCGTGGAGACTACTCAGCCATTGCTGACGACGAAGGGGAGCTGCTGGGTGAGGAAAGCGACGAGGATGTCTAACCGTGCACAGAGGCGGAGAGCCTTGTCATCCCCTACCTGCTGAAGTAAACACGCTCCCTTCCAATGCATTATTCCGTTTTTCTTTTCCGTGTTTTTGTTAGGTGTATCTCTATTCTGGAAGCGTTGTCAATCATTTCATTGGCCGGGGACATTGTTATACATGACCCGGGCTATATCAAGGGACTCCGTGGATGGGGTTGTTTGTTGGATATATACTATCTATCTACTTGTCGATTAGAGGAAAAGCAGCGCAGAAAATCAAATTACCTTTTTTTTAAACCATCAAACACATACATCGTGACTCCCAACTACGCATGAACTTGAACAAAACCAAACCGGCGACAAAGAAACCACCACCTACCTACAACACCAACCTCGGTGGGCAGCACGCGAAATTGCGCTCACCGAGGCGACCACCACCCACGTGGGAGGGTAATTTGGAATATACCATGCTACGAAGCAGGGGAAGCAATCGCCAAACGAGATGACCTTTGCTTTTTCCTCCCTACCCTCCCCCGACCAGAGAACCACATCGTTCTAGAAGACTGCCCCTTCTCACCTGGAGCAACGAACCATGCCAAACACGCCGAACTCGTCATCAAAAGCCCAGGCTCCCGTGGCGCGGCATGGGTTCCCGTCCACCTGCCTGATTTCGACCAGGGCCGGCGGGAGGGGTCCCCGACGAGCGACAAACCCGAGGATACAAGCTCGGATTCTGTCTGGACCGACCCTAGCCCCCCAGTCTCATTTCGTCATTTGAGCCACCGCCGGACGATGGAAGCCATGAGCTGTCATCCAGGAGTAGCGTGGAATGATGGCGATCCCCTGGGAATAGCAGGGTCTGTTGACCATCCCATGCCAGATTAATGCCAGCGCCAAAGAGGCAGAGAGCAGTGCACGGACTCGCCCCTAAATTTCTTTTGTGATCATCTCCTGGTCTCCACGGACATACCGCCTTTTACATAGATCAGATGGCAAATGAGCTCATCCTATGCGGCGTAGGCAGTCAACTCGGTGGACCAGGGTTCTATTCACAGCTTCGTTGAGGTTCAGGATGAGAGTAGACATCAAGATAGAGTATATTGATTCTAAAAAAATGAATATGAAAAGCACAAGGCGCCTTTAGCGCTCAACTCAATTCTTTACTTCGCCATCAACTCCGCGCATATTGATCAATGTAGCCTCGCCAAGGGTATTTAATGTTCAAAGAAAACCACAGTAACTCATGCCAACTCCATATGAATGACATCGCAAGGGCCACATCGTAAAGAAAGGAAAAGGCAACAAATTGAAATAAAATGTATAATGAAATAAAAGAATAAAAGAAAGCAGGTAGTAGAGGACTTCTGTCCTCCATAATAAAAGAGAAGTTCAATTTGTAAAAAGGTCATTATCAGGTTGGCGTAAAGGCTATAGTCGTAGCAAGTTGGAATCGGTGACATGACATGTGTTATTTATGTCCGTCTTACGCGCTTCCAGAGGCGTTTCACCATGCCGCCTTCTGTTTGGTTATAATTTTCTTGGTCGATAGCAGCGAGCTCTTTATCAATTCGAGCCTTTGCATCGAGGTTCTTGTTGAGTGAGACGGGTGCCAGGATTTCGCCTCGCATGTGAGCCTTTCGCACCTCCACACTCTGCTGCCACCGATAGATATCATCCTCATTCGCTCGTAGATCAGGCCTCGTTAGCGTCATGCGAAGGGTCATCTCTCGGTGGGTTCCGCTCTGGTTGATTTGCGGCTTCACCATAAAGGTATCGCCACATTTCCCGCCAGCAGGGAGCAATGGAAGAGGCTTGTCCAGCATGGGCGGCGTCTTGGGTGATTCAAGATCATCCACGGTACTATTATCACTGTAGGTTGATGACTTATCATCGTCCAAGAAAGATCGTAGCTGATCCATGGGATCGATTTCATCGTCATCGTGTTTAGGCTTCCGGTCGTCTCTGTCGTCGTCGTCTCTGGAAGGGAATCCAAACTCTAATGCCTCGTCAAACTTCTGTGGGGAAGCCAGGTAGGCGCGGAGCTTCATTCGGGCTTCGGGGTCTTGGTAGTGAGCAGCTGCTGGGTCGACCACTGCGGCGGGTTCAACAGGACCGGTCTGCTTGTTGAGCATAAAAGACAATCCCAATGACTTCCTTCTCGAGTGTCCAAGAGATGCAATAGATGTGCCCTGAGATCGGAGTGAGGGAGCGGTCATTGTGTCTTGTGTGCCCGGGCGGCTTTGCGAAATGGAAGGTCGTTTAAAAGGCAGCTTGTTCATTGAGAGATGTCGACGGAATGAAGGCCGTCGAGAGGTTGGTGGCTTGGACTGGACTGCTGGCTCATCATCCTGACCACCGATATATAGCGTAAGATCAAGGCCATCATTCTGTTCAAGCCAAGCGAGAGAATCTCCATATCGTCCAGATTCTCGTGATGGCCGGGGCTGAGCTGTTGCTGGTCGCATCTTCTCTTGGCGGGGAGGCATTCTTGTGATTCTCTGACCTGAGCAGTCGGGGAGACTAGACTGTTTCTTGAGAGTGCCAGGCGCTGGGGCGTGTGGCGGTTGAAGAGCAAGGAAACGCTCCTCTTCGGTGAGGAGGCTTCGTTTGACTTTGTCAGGCAAACCAATAAGAAATCTCTGGTCCAATGAGCTCAGACGTGGGCGATGTCGTGTCTGACTATCAATTGAGCTTGAAGCTCTGTGACCCGGGCGAGGCAGACCTAGAAATTCCGCTTCGGATCCGGGAGGGGCGCTCGCCGATCGTGGAGGCAAGGGGAAGTTGGCGAAGTCGTCGTGGTCGTCTTTGGTCGTGGCAAGACGAAGACGTTCAAAAGGAGAAAAGTGCTATATGAACGGAGGTTAGGACCGAGGGAGGTTGACTGAGGGTAGAGAAGGTAGAAGTAGAAGCAGAGGGAAGGTGTGGAGAAGGTGGTGGTGGATAAATAAAGAAGTCAAGGTAGAGGAAGGTGTGTTCTAGATAGGGAGATCATGGAAGGTGCACGGTAGCGCTGGGGGTAACATGCCTGGCACCTCTCTTTGACAGGGAGGTAATAAGCACTGGAGCGGGACAGGGAGACACTGGCAGCAGCTCGTGTCCAGAAGCAAGGGACGGGATGATTGAGGAATGGATGTCCGTGAACTGATGGTTCATGGTTGGTCACCCAGGAGAGTCCACCGGGCATCAAAGTGGTACGACGAGCCGGTGAAGTCTAGGAATTGGGAATTATGGGCTGGCGCCCTTCCGAGTCTCAACAACACAACGGGGAATGGACGAGCAGGCGCTACCTGACAGCCAGTAAGGGGGAGAGGAGCATGGAGGCCCAAGGCAAGCCCCGGGGTCAGAGGGCCAGAGGGTAGGGGTACGCGCTCACTCCAGCAGTGATGTGAGGACCGCTGCCGTCTCGTAGCTCGACGCTTCAGCCCTTCAGGTTCCTTCTGGCGACCGGTCGGGGCGGCACCGGAGAGCGGGTCAAGGCCCCCATTCCGCCCACCTCATGAACCACAGAAGGGCTCGACAGGGGTTCCTTGGGCGGCTTGCTAGCAGCTAGTGCGCTGTGCGTGGGAGCTGGTGGTGCAAGCGAGGCGCGAGGGAACCCCCCATTCCGCGCCAGCGAACGGGTTGTGACGCCAAACCGTGTCCCAGTTCCCCCTTCCCTCCGCCTGTCAAAGTCATCCCGTTCTCAACCAGAGACGGCAAGCAAAAACAAGTGGCGCGCATTGGCACCGTGTGGGACCTGCTGGCCGGGGCCGGGCTGGGTCTTGTACGACAGCCAGGGGAGCATGACAGACTATTTCTCGGGAATGAAGTGCCCATCGAAAACGAGCAGCTCATCACACTGGATTGATGCAGCTCACGCCCTCCCCCCATGTGCCAGCCAGATGGCCATGCTCTGGAGCCAGCCCAGGGAGTCCAGCTCAATCCTAATTCGACTAGGGATAGGTTTCTGGATCACTCAATTGAACCTAGCTGGTCCCCAGGGGAGGTGGACGCGCTAACAGATGGGCCCTGGGACATCTTGGCGGCGGCACCACAGAGCTCCCTGACTGGTCTGTTGCTGCCACATGAGCCCTCCGATGCACAACGAATCACACATTCGGGTGCGCTGAGGGACCGGGAGAAAAATTCCATCACGCGGGTCCCGATAACGCAGACTGCATGCGCGCTGCAATGTGACAATGACGTTCCTGTGTCCTGTCTTGCTTTCTTTTCTCGGCTGAGGCGGGAGGACAAGCGCCGCGGCAGCATCGTGAAAGAGCGGAGAGCTCTCCCATTTGCCACTTGGCTAGGCCGCGGCAGAGCCACAAGGGTTCATACAAAATGAAAGAGCGGGGCAGAGCTCTGAGGCGATCGAGGCCGGGGCAGGGAGAAAAAAGCAATGTGAAATTTGTAGACGCTATCGCATGTACGTGCGTCTGAACGTGGACAGGCCGGGAGGTGGCATCCACAGCAACAAATCTTCCGAATCGAGCCAGCGAATGGCACTCTGCCAGCTCATACATATCAGGGCGGCGCGGCGCGTCGGGGCTGGCAGGTATCAGAGCAAGACATGTGCGAGCTGTAAGACATAGCACATGTCTTGTCTTTGACCAACCGGTAGACGAGGGTGAGGGTGTGGGGGAGAACGGTTGGGTACCAAATGTCTGAGACATTCACGAACTCTCGTGAAAGGGCGACTGGGAGTGAAAAATGAAGGAAAGAAGAACTTGTACTGACCTTTCGCTGGATAGCTGGCGGCAGGGCCTCGAACTGTTCTCGTGTAATCCGGCTTGCGAGCGCAGTTGACGGATCAGAGTATGCAACTGGAGTCTTGGGACGGCTCTGAGAGAACAAGGCGGCTGGGTCTCTATATCGGCGAGTTGGGGCGCTGACTTTGTCCAGTGGTCTCCAGGTCTTGACGCGCTGCAACCCCAACTTGTTGCCGTTTCCTCCGTCCGTATCCAGCTGGTGATCGTCGTTGATGGCGGCACGGTCGTTATTATGCTCGTGCTGCTGAGGTTGGCTTCCTGCTGCTGGCGGCATTGGTTCGTTGACGGAGGGTGTCATTGTCATTGTCATCCCCACAGGACGGCCACTAACACTCGTGTGCCTGGCGGTAGTTGGTTTGCGTGCCATCGCAATTCCGCTTCTAGGTCGGTCTAGTCTAGCTCGAGCTTTTAAACTTGCAAAAAAGGTTTGGCTTGGTTGGTGAAGGCGAAGATCATCTGCTCTTTGATGATGAAAGGTGTTTCACGTTGGATTGGGGTTCCTTCTTCTATTCACTGGCACACGCGTGGAATCGATGGATATATTAATAGTCCTCTTTTATTCCGAACAGTTGGTCCTGTCACCACTAATAGACGCGTGGTATAGTAAGCTCCCGTGAGCAACTGGTGATGGCCTAGTAATTGTTTCTTGGCCCTAATCCCCGGTTCTCCGTGTCGCTACCCCTGGTCCATCTCAAGTCGATTCTTCTCGTGGTAACAGCCGGGTCCCCTCTCCTTCACCTGGCCCCCCGGTCCCTAGAAGGAGCTCCGCCTACGGTGGCGAGGAGCTAAAAGTAAGATCTACCAACGCTTGTGTCTAGCGGCATTCCGAATTAGTGATGACGCAGATGGTTGGTTGGTGGAGGCGGCTTGGACCCAATTCGAGGGACTGCCAACTGAGTGATCACCAATCCAGTCGCCTCCAACAGCTTGGTGTCTCCCAGACAGCCAATATTAGGGACTAGTACACTACAGCAGCCGAATAGCTTCGACACAATGAGGATTCGAGGGAGTGTATCGGATAAATCACTCAGTGTCCCGTTCATTCCGACCGCTCGGGTCGGACGGTATGGCGGTGCAACCAGAACACGTACATTCACCTGTGCAATTGCGTTTGGTGACGGATCTGGCCCCAAGCCCGTGGCTAGTGCAGTACAGTCATAATTAAGGGGACATTGGTGAACACCCACCGCACCAGACCTAGGCTCTACGGCATGCCAGCACGCCTAAAGATAGCCGGGAAATAATCCCTAAAACGATGGCAGGCAGTTGATGGCTGACCGTTTCCAGGCCGTCGACCAACATGCAGACAAAATGCAGCGCCAGAAGCATAGCTCAACGCTAAAAAAGCATCACCACCAACATCAGCCCACCGCAAATGGGGCCCCAATCCGAAGATGCCCTACAGGCGTTCTCTCCGTTGGCAAGTGGAGAATATATTGAATTGAATCCATCTGTGCACTAGCCAGTCCAATGTTGGTGGTGTTTTCTTTTCTTTTTTTTTCTGCTCATCTGAAGATGGAGGTAGACCGACAGGGATCGGTCCCGAGAAGCAGGAAGGATCGTTGGCCCATATGCAGCATTCAGGCAGAGCAAAGTCGTTTTTAATAGCATCCACCCCCATTTTTAACCCAATTTGTCGACCCTTGGATGCAAAGATTTAGTCGCAAATAACCCGATCAACCCATTTTCTCCCTGTCACATCTCGATGGAGGTGTGAAATCGTGTCCAGTATTACGCAGCAGCCAGTCCGTTTCCAGGCCATCTCGTCCACATACACGGATAGCCCTATAATACTCGCTCAGCCGCACTCGCCAACAGAGGATTCTCGAGTAGACGCATTGGACAAGGCTCTGCCTGATTGGGATCCACGAAGAACCATGTACTAATATCCAGGGCACAGCTTCTGGGCATATCTCTGCTCCAGGCTACTGCTGACGTCCTGGTTGCAGTAATCAACTCTCTTTGACTGCCAGCAAACTAACACGCAAGGATAGTTTCTACCTGCCTATCTCTGTCCCTAGATCGTGGTAGGGGTTTGGGCCTCGAAAATCATGCTTCCGGGCTGTCCGTTCCTGGCGATCACCCCAGGACTTGGTTGGCACATCGTAGGATCAGTTCCCAAATTAGCATGTTCAATGGAACTCGCAACACAATTACAGACAAAAGAAGTAACCCCGTCCTGTACTACGGTTGGTGGTGAGGCATTGACCAACAGGCAGAAGAGGAAAGTGGCTGGCTCTCATTCAAGATGTGCCTGCATTAGTATGCCTATTCAACCATTGTACATTGATAACAGGCATCCAAGTCACCTGTTGGTCCTAGCCAGCATGCATGTCATGTCTCTGCCTAATCAGCTAGTCTCCCTCTACTCGTCTGGCCTGATTGCTTGGGAAACGAGCCATGTGCTTCTTCGTGAGCCCCGCGCCATAAGAAGCAAAGAAAAAGCTCCGGTTGTCCCGAAGAACGTGGGATGGAACGTGGTTTCCTGTCTATCAGGCACCCCAGAACATGAAAACCGTCACTGGCTAGCCTTCTCGAAGCCTTCTCCATTGCAACCGTCCAAGCCGTCTGTCTGCATGAACCATCATCCAACAACGTGACTCTGTTGGGGGCCAGGGTTCAAGGGCTTGCCTTTTGGCCCCGATCGGCAAAGGAGCGACTGTGCACCCGAAGCCACCCCGTGGCAGTGTCGACTGTTTGGGATAGATTATGGATGATGTTGCACATTGATCCTGGATCAATAGACTCATGCGGTCGACGCAGCACGTTTCCGTCCATCGACGAGTGTTCATTTATATCCCCTCCATTTCAAAGTGGTTTAGTTCACAGATAAAATAAACGCTGCAGTCTCTTTTGGGGATCAAGATGGCCTTGGCTGAGTGTAGCCAGAGCAACTTCCTGTGGGATTCGGATGCCGGTCCAGTAAGATTTGTCGAGGCCCGGTCCATGTTAGCTCGCCATGTGGTTTTTTCGTCTGGTCTGACCATTTTTCACAGCGCCTTCGGCCGAGAGACGCCTCGGGTGCTACCCCTGTTGATATTTCGTGGCATGGGCCACCATGTGGTTTGTCTTTTGCTAGTTGCCCAGGCAAACGTGTGCCTTTACGAGACATGATGTCAATTGGCGAAAGCCACGTCTTTGCCAAATTATTCAAATCCGCGTGAGGACACTGAGGAAAAGGTGGAATGCAAGGTAATCCTAGTATGCGAGCGGTATTCGGACACTATATTCTATTTCTCTTCCTTGTCTTAGAACACCGACTTAGGCCAACGAAAAGAGAAAAGAAATCATCCAATACGATTCGAGGTAGAAGCCCCGTAGAGAGTTAGTAAGATTTTTGCGAAGTCAAAATACCATATAGCTATCAGGTAAGCTAGTGTTGAAGACCAAGGATGCGAAGCTAGGAAGCAAAGATTGTATGGACAGCATTTTCATATACACAGAGCGGGTGTTCTCTTGGGCAAAAGTGATTCTCTATGATAAATACCCAAATTACAAACCCTTTGGAACTCAATATTGCTATATAGCACCTAACCCAGTCTAGTACAAAACATCATTAGGCGAGGTAGACAGAGGAGAACCAAGAATGACTTGTACTCTATTCTAGAATTAGTAGACCTCACACTTGAACAATACAGAACCGGCGAGACTATGAACTTGATGGCAGTAGTTCGTTAGTTGATGCTTTTTACGGCCTAGAAACAAATTCGGTCTCAATCAGCAACCATAAAAATAGAATAGAGTGAACATAGAGTAACTTCACTCATCTACTAGCCAGCCATGTGTACAGGCGCGGATAATAAGTTCCTTTTCTTATCATCTTCACTCTCCCTCTTGCATATCAGAGAAGTAACATTGCAAGCACTCGATCTCTCACAGACGCCTTTATTGGTTACACATATTATGCCACATTCGAGCAGAGAAGCCATGTGTTTGGTAACCGGGTAGTATTATTAGGTTACAGGGTGTCTCATGGCTGTGGTACAGCCTTAGATTATGATATTGATCTCCATCAGCGCCGACTTCATCAATTTGGGGCAAGTTACCCAAGGCAAGGAAACAAATCTACACATTCATCTGCAGTTCAGCTATTGCTAGGAAGTGCTAGAGTGCATGTTCTACGGGCCCAACCTCATTTGAACACCACTAAAAATTTGGCACCAGTCTAGTTAGAGCGGGATTCCCAGACCAATTTTAGAGTGCGCTTTACCAGCTGAGCAAATCCCACATCCACGATGTACACGGTGAAAAACAGTGGCTTTCCAAGTCCAAATCTTGTATCAGGATACACGATTCTACATGATCCCGGTGAGTTCGTAAAAAATTCAGCTGGATAGCCCAAATTTTGAACCACCCGTGATCCTATAAGTGAAACGCGCTGGCTGTCAGACGGCTCAATAACTCACATTGTGATGGCTTCCGAGGTGCAACCTCAGTTCAGCTTCTGTCGTGTCAAGATGCCGCTCGATCTTCTCCAAGCTCGCGGCCTTTCGCTAGCTGATAATCCGAGACAACAAGTGCTGCCTTAAGCAAACACATCAACGCCAAAACACGGTATCGGCGATTCTATTGCACATTTTCATAGGCATGTAATTACCGGTCGCAGCAACCCGCTGGCCAAGCGAAACGGACTCCATCACCATCTTAGACAAGCTGACATACAGCTTTTTGCAGCTACCGAAGGCACCTATATACTTTGGAAGCCCCTAGGCCTTGAATTCAGCGCCATTGAGTACGTTCTTGTTGATCTAGACTAGAGGCTCTTCAAAGACGTTGATTTTGGTGGTTCTAGGATGAGGCTGGTCTAGGTTAGGTGGACTCGGAGGAAGTGTCTGCAAATCACAGAAGAATATACCGTGATTCAGCCGAAACAAAGACCCACTTTGTACCTACTACATACAAGCTTTATGTTGGCCAGCCTCGTGTGTGCCTGCCTTCAATTCATGGATCAACGCAGCGTGTCGTAGGGGATAAAGATGCGGGACATGATTCGTATTTAACAAGGAAACACCTTCCCTTGGTATAGTGTTTACGCGTATCTTGGTGTCGTTCTGGGGGAATTTGTGTTCTTTTCTTCCATTTGAGTATCTGTCGTCTACGTCCACCTGCGCTGCCTCCTACAGCTCTCAACGACTAATAAGCGCCTGAGCGCCGTGCGTATTCCTGCACAATGGCGGACAAGGAGATCCCCCTCATTCTTGGAAATGACCTCTCCATGCATCTTGGCGACGTTGGGGATGTCGGTGATGTCGATGACCTTTTCGGCGATGCCTCAGCCTTACCGCTCCGGCCCACAGGCATGCAGCTCGACCAACGGATAGATAGGCTGAGAAACCGCGGCTGCTACCAGTATGCATCACTCGTTACTTGGCCGTGGGCCCTCTTCCTTGCTCATCACTAACGTGCTTGTACAGGACTGTTGCATGGTCAAGGGTTGGGACCATTGCCAGCATCACTGCCGATGGCCAAGAGCTGGAGCTTCGATATCTCCGATGCAGGCCTGACAATGGCGAGTGGGAGCTCACTGAGCCTACGACCTGTGCCCTCGTCAAAGGCTCTCCGGAGATCCCGCTGGTGCATCTGGAGTGGGCAATCACTAACAACCCGGAACTGGCCATCTTCGATGCCTCGGGGCGTGTGGCCCTGCTCATCTTTTCCACAACAATCACACACCCCTTCCTGGTAAGGAAATGGGATACAGACATCGTAGATGAGATGCAGTCGATTGCCGGAGCTCATTGGCTACCGGTGGCCCCAAACACCCAGCCGGCAGCAGCTGCCAACTCGGCGAATGCCGGCAACCGCCAGAGCTTCAACGTCGTGTTCGGCCCCGCCGTCAAGAATCCCCAAGGGAATTATCAATACGAATCCTCCTTTGTGCATGCAGAGGGCCCTAACCATCCCCTTCAAGCTAGGACCGCCTTGCTCTGTGTTACCATGGGAGGTATTCTCAAGATGTTTTGGATGCAGCTGAATAACAAGATGGAGGAGACCACCCTGGAGCTGGAGAGCATTCGCACCGCAGACGAGATAGTGACGCATGCCGCCTTTGCATCTGAAAAGAGTTTGTTCACACCCCGCTCTTTCTTTTTAGGTACGCTATCCTAACAGTCCGCAGAATACCTGATCCTTGCCCTGGTCACCGCATCGAAGCAGCTCAAGTTCGTCAAGGTAGAAATTCACTGGGGAAGCCAGCCCGGGAAGGCTGCAGGGCCGCAGAATACTCGGTACAATGCGACTCTTGTAGAGAAGCACTGTGCCACTGCTGGTTGGTCGTTGGATTCCCTCGAGGATGCATCGATGCCTGAGATATCTCACTTGCTTGCCCTGCCGTCGATATTGGACAATTCCGGGAAGAACATGGCGCCGCCCGTGATTGTATCTGTTCGGTCCCGGCCGCCCGGCGCCGGTCCGTTCCCGCCTGCTCAGTCCATCATCGATCGCTGGGAGGCTGTTGAGCAGCGCCATTGGCTGCATCCGGCTATCGAGCAACTCGGCAACAGAAGAAACAGTGTATCCTCCGAGCCATCAACAGGCACCTTTCTGCGCCCTCTGGAGCCAATCGTCATTCCCAAATGTATAATTAACATACAGTCGGCACGATATGGAAAGATCCTCATCATTACCTTTGCGGATGGCTCGGTTGAGTACCGGGATAGGTACACTTTCGAGGAGATATACACTACGCGCGAAACGGCCAAACTATCAAATCTGCGCGAAGCAGGATGGAATTTCGCAGAGGATATGCCATGTATGTGACATCATGACTTTTGTTCTACAGAGAGGTTTTCAAACGCAAGCGTGACTAACTCGGATGATTCACGTTTAGGCCAACAAACTGCTTTCTCGCCTACCTTCTGCTCCATGGTCGTTATGGGAGAGGATGGCAAGCTCAAATGGAACAAGCTCAAATACCCCGACGGTGATTTTGGGAACAGCATGCAGGACGGTGAGCAACCTACATCTATGCCCACATACCGTCAAAGTATGAAGGTATGCGAATGATTATGCAGAACTAACAGCCCGCTTTCAGAACAATATGCCGCCACTATTGCCGGCCTTACAATCACGGCAGCAACATCCATCAGATCCCAAACCAACTTTGACGACATGCTAGCCGTTGTCAGACCCCATATCTCCAAGAAGAGTAAGCCACATTCCTGCAGCAGGCACAAAGCAAGGTGGACGGCAATCTGACTAGTGACAGAGCTCATGCAGGATTGGGTGGGCGAACTTATTCGAATCCTTAATATACAGGTTGACTATTCAGGGGAACACTCTCATGACGCTCTCCTTAAGAATGAACAGATGCGATCATGTCTGAGCATTCTCATCAATCTCGGCTTCAAGGGGGACACCCAACCCAGGAGTTTCCAGAGTACACATGCTCTCATAGCGGCGACGGTGCGAAGCACTGCTTGGAACATCACTTTAGCCAGTAGCTCGCACTTCCCAGTGACAGGAAAGAAGAGCCCACTTGACGATCACGGTACGTACATGCGCAATCTCGAGGGTGACAAATTTCACAAGGCTAATACGACTGCAGAGGTGGTGGATGTGCTTGTCACATCTGTCCGTTGGTCATTGGACCTGATCGCCTGGCTCTCGGACTCTCTGTTCGAACTCATGAATGACGATGAGTTCATCGGGCTACTCACCCCTGCACGCACAAATGAACTTGCCATTTATCTACATACCAAAAATGACGTCTCCCTGCAGCTACTCCTGTGTTCGAGCAGCCGGAGCTTTTTGATGGCACTGTGCCGTAGAATAGGGCACCTGGCATTGCTTAGCAACAAGGCGATGGAATTTTATCGAAAACAGTCGGCCGAGGCCAACGCAGCCAAGGCACCGAATCCTTACTTGAGACAGGCTTACCAGAGGCTCCAGCAGGCCACGAGCTCTGGATTCGTGAGTGTAGGAGAGTTTGAAAAGCTGATAACTGCCCTTAAGATGGGCATCATGCAGTCGTATGATAACGTCCTAACCGCCATGGTCAAGCGACAACCAAACCCACCTCAAGGGAAACAAGAAGACGAGGCTGTCAAGGTAGCTCGCTCCCAGTGTGAGACTAGAATGCTGTTGGCAGCGGCTCCTCACCCCAGCCTGATACCCGTGTTGAAGAAATTCTTCACTGAGGACGTTCCAGCGTTCCGCAAGACCACGGATCCAGCCAAGCTCTTCTTCGGAGAATTTGATGTCCTTGATGTGTCTGTCGACCAGGGCGATGTGGATGGTGTGAAGTGGGCACACATCGACGTCCTGTCCAAAACAAAACTTCACATGAGCCCAACCCAGCAGTGGAGGAGATGCACACGTTGCACGGCGGTCATGGAGGAGCTCCCTGGTAGAGGACCAGGTTTTACTTTCTTATTCAGTCAGCAGCGGCGGTGTTTGTGCAGTGGGACCTGGGCAGTATTGCCGCAAGGCAAACTTATTTAATATTTTTATCTCTGGGATGGGAATAGGGGGCGATCATGCACGGGAAACGTTCAAGCGGCTCAATTTTTTTTTATTCGGGCATGTTCGTGGGAGTATTCGTGGGGGCCTGCTTGGGAATCATGTTGTCTAAGTGCGTCAGGTTCGTTAATGAATACAATTATTCTGGGTATGTCTTGGTGTTGTGGGTGCGGAGCATCTACGACATTGATATCGAGTGTCTATATTCTTTGAAACTCGGGAAGCGACTCCGGGCAACTAGTAGCTTTAGCAACCGAAATTCCTACGTCTTTTCTAGGAGATATCAAAGACTCGAGATGATAATCGCATGCATAGCCGTTACCACTTTTGTTCGGCCTTACTACTTGCGTATCTAAGACATGTTGGTCAGACATGTTCCGGCTGGGGCCGTTTCATTGGAAGGCAACCTTGGGGACCTAGCAGCCAGGAATTCAGTCAGCCAGCCAATACCCTACAGTCGTTCGAGAGATCTCGAAGCGTCGTATGTTGGTCTCTGAGGTGATAAAAAGGCATTGCATTCCACTTATAGTGATTCCTTTTTTTTTCGATGTTCGTTCAGTAACCGTCGACAAACTTCATTCTTCGGTCAAAAGCTCACTCTTCTGTGTCTCTATACCTAGACCTCGTGAAAATTCGACATTATGAGATTTAGCGCCGTGATTGCTACAGTGACCTGTCTGTTCAATGCTCCTTAAGTCATCGCAGTCTCGACAACGGCTTCAGGAACATCACCTACGGCACAGAATTTCGTTCTTCTCGCCATGAGGAACTGCCCCGAGTGTTGGAGTGAGCTCTACACCGGGGCAAGTCAAACGCTACTGTATACGTCGTTACTTGGAGTTCACTGAGGCAATTTGTATAGATAGATAGGTATGCAATGCGACTTCTTGCAAGTGGGGAGTAGCATTTTCTTCGACTAGAAGGGGGGACTGGAAGCGCCAGTAGCGAAGTATGAACAGTAACCTAAGGTAGCCCGGCGAGGATCCCAATTAGATGAGGGAGCATCAGTCAGTGGAGGAGGTGGGGGATCACAGTAGGCAGGCACAAAGCGAGCCATGGCGTGAGTGAGATGATGCTCACCAACTACTCTGATGGCCTTTGCCCGCAAGCTTCCAAGTGTCGCCGGGTTGGCCAACCTTGGTCAAATCGAAAGTGGCCAGACCAAATCAGTCCAGTGAAGCTCTTGATCGCCTTCCCCTATGTGTGATTGGCATGGAGAACTGGGTATCTGTCGCCATTGTAATTGCGATTGTCCACTCTTAGTACCTTCTCATGTTGGCGCTACGATCTTCAATTATATCCAAGGTAGGAAATTCAGATAGCTTCAGAGGGCTGCACACGAATCACCTTACATCTTCGTCATATCTTATAAGGCTCAACGCATGAAACCAATTATCTATTACATTGGATACACATTCCGGATCAAGAAATATGACGATTCTCGGCGAGATGTCATCGTGTTTACAGGGTAGTGTTTGCAACCTGGTGCTCACAGGCCGTCTACAGGGTAGCGTAAAGTGGAAAATCTCCAACTGCCAAATCAGACGACCATCGTCGAGGGCACAGCAATTTGCCTGCCGAAAGAGGCTACGTCATGCTCAATGAAACCAGAGAGCAAGCGTGAACGACGAGATGAATTATGGAGTGCCATTGGAGCGGCGGTTTGGAGTCTTTGGATTAATGTTGTCCCTCGGCGCCAATTAAGATTGACGGTGGATAATGCGCAAATGCTTGGCTCTAGATCGACGAGCTCTCCGCTTCGACGACGATCAAAGGTGAAGCAGGCTAATTCGACAACCTGAGCGAGGCTAAGGTCGTGCGCTGGAGGCGCGTACTATTTGCCAGTTTATTCGCTCTTGGCGTTGCGCCGTTTGCGCTACGCTGCAATGGTAGGGGAGGTTGGAATGGGATCTAGACACTACGCCAGATTGAGCGAGAGATGATCAGGGGAGGGCACACGGCGGTCAATGAGGAGAGCTCGGCAGAAGATCAGGGAGCCATGGAGGGGAGGCATGGTGTTGATCCTTCGGGCGATGGTCCCCCAAGTCCCCTCCTGTGCCTGGCTGGTGCGACTGGTGGCAACAGAGTTGGATGCGACGGATGCGCTGGCGGACACACCTGCGGGCCATCGGATGCCGCCCACGGAGCGTCTGGACGGGCGGAATGCGCAGACGAGCGAGCTACAGGCAATGTGGCTGTCGATACGACCTCTGCTAATGTCTTTATCAATATGCCACATTCCAAGTGCTAGATCAGGGGCGCTATCGGTTGATAGCAGCCGAGCATTGATTTGCTGCTGGGTCGCGGCGGCATGCCACGCTATGTGGCGCTCCTTCGGGCAGACAGTCTCATTCTCCTCCAATTTTTTTTTTACATTACCGTCTCCATGTAGCATCGGCTGGCGCTCTGGGGTGGGTATGCTGGCGTCAGGAGCCGTGTAAGCCCCAACCACCATTTTGTGCACTGGCCATCTGTGGAATATCATTAGCTGGCGATTCCTCGTCACATGGGGCTGTCGGATTATGCCTGCTCGCTGCCTCCGGTGTCAGAGGTCGCAATGGAGCCCTGCCAATGGATTTCCCCAACCGGTGTCACCGTCTGTGCCTCACGTAGGACGGCGACTGGTTGGCTGCCTTGGCGCCCGCGCGTCGCGAAATAAAGTGATTTAGGTAGGCGCCCAATGCGCGGGCCAGATGCGACTCATCATGTCGGTACGTTGTGCAACCGGCAGCGACTAGTGCTCTGGAGAGATGCGTAGATGGAGTAGATTTGTGGAGGTCTCACATCGCAGGCCGTAATTGCCCATCGCACGAGGGCTGCTTCTGGCCCCTTTTGGGAGGTGCGTTCCTGATTGCCCCTGACACGGATCAGTCTCCTTGATTGGCTGGTGGCAGGAGGACCCCACGACCTACCGCCGTGCTGTCGAGTGGTGGGCGAGCTTGTACGGCCTTGGCGGACGGGAGTGGGGCCCAGACGAACCGCGCTACTGCAGGTCCCATGCCGCCTTGAGGCGCTGTAAGTGGCTGGAAAGGCTCGACTGCCACTTCGCGCTTTTTCCCTGGCGCCTACTGGGATGTCTGCCCGACCCCTTTTGGCATCTGGTGGCATAATGCGACGCTGCCGGCCACGCACCTAATTTCCCTACTTCTAACTCTACCGTTCTGACTATCTTTCAGGTTGCCATTGTGCTTGCTTCTCCTGTCTCGTCTCGCTCTGCATCCTGCCTCGTGACATTTGGATGTGCGCTCGCCGCCCCATGCTGATAGGCGCTCGTGTGCATCTCGTTTCATAGCACTACCCAAGCCAAGCGCTACCATCTACCGCTCCTTGCTCGTCGCATTATCAGGTGGCCTTCTCCACTCCCTAATTGCTGGTCATCGACGACAAGACTGTCCATCCCTTGCCTGATGGCCAGGTCCCGTCGATAACACATTCACTTGTTGGCAAGGTGGCTGACTGGTTATCCCAAAATGGCATCACATCCTATCCCCTCTTCACCTGGACCTCAGGAGGCTATGCCGATCTCATCGAATCTTCCATCTTATCCAGATTCTTCTCCTCCGAGCTCTTCCCACCATCACCAACCTAATCACTCTACTACTGCCAATAGCGCCCACCAGCCAAGTCCACACTCAACCGACGGCCAGCCTCGCCCTACTACCTCCAGCTCCAGTGCCGCCTCGTCGACTTCTGAATCATTCTCCAACGCTCCTGCTCGGGCGTCGGTGAATCGCATCAAGAGGAAGCCTATCCCCTCGACGATATCAACTTCGGCCAGGTCCGCTCACCGGTCTCAGGGGTCCACGGCGTCGACGATCCTGTCCTACGCCGACCTTCCCAAGCCGGATCACCGCTTCTCAAGGTCTGGTTCGATTGACAGTCCGACTATATACGAGTATTTCCCTGCCGAGGCGCCCAGGCCCAACATTGCTTCAGCGTAAGTCAATTGATATCCCCCAATTCCTCGGAAGCGCAACTTGTGTAACCCCGTCCGACGAGACCCGTTTCTCTAACTGGAATGTGTTCCTGTGCTTCAGTCTCGAAATAAACTCAGCCCTGTTTCACGACCGTTATTCCGACGCGCCCGGCATTCCAACCGTCGACCAACACTCCCAGGCCGACACGTCCGACGTACTGTCTGCCTACTCCGCGTACGACGAGCTGCTGTCCGACGTGACACCGGATGCTGGAACGGTCAAGACACCTAGTACCATTGTGGAAGATCGGACCGACAAGGACGACGACGACAACGAGTCGACGTACTCGGATTATCTTGACCAGCGAGCCAACTCCCCGCCTCCCATGTTTGCACAAAAAGCAACTCCTCCACATCTACAATTACAAAAAGTAGACACCGTCATCGCGCAGAACGTGTTGAATGACGAACTCGGGGCTGCTTCTCCTCAGTCGATCCACTCGAATCGCAACAAACCACTACCTAAATCCCCAGGCGCAGCATCGCCGTTTGCTTCATTCTTTGGTTGGGGAGGGAACCCGTCGCCGTCAGGCACCGAGTTCTCGATATCGTCTCCCTCTTCTCCATCCGGAAGAGGAGGGTCAGGCGAAGGCGTTGGAAACAGATCGCGGACGACCGATAGCACAACGCCCAATGCAGCCTCTTCAAATGCTCTCGGATACTCTGACTCCTACCTCTCCGCATCATTACCCTCCTCACAGTCATCATTTCCTATAGATGAGATGGAGGACGAACTAAGAGCCATCAGCCACGAGCTGGCTTCGTCCATCCGGCGCGAGATGGACTTGGAGGATCTTGTTGACCGACTGCAGGAGCAAGCCAGTAGTTCCCAAGCGCCAAGCAAGAGAACTAGTGACTATTTCTCGGACTCGGGAATCAGCTCTACCAAGGCCAGTGAATCAGAACAGGCCCGCGATGAAATTGACAAGATTCAACGGCGAGCCGAGCAAGAAAAAGCCTCTATCCGTCTAGAGCTGACGACCAAACTCCAAGATGAAAGGGCACGACGCAAAGCCCTTGATAATCAAATCAGGGAACTCGCAGAAAAAGCATCGCAAATCGACCTCGCGCAGATTAATAATCTGGACGCCAACGAGCGTGTAAAAGATCTCGAAAACACCTGTGAAGATCTAAGACGTCGCTTGTCCGACGAACGATCATCAAGGTCGAACTTTGAGGACCTCTTGTCTGCCCTAAAGAGCGAGCTGCAGGAAGCATCAAATGAACGAGACAATCTACGAGATGAAGTGGTCCCACAGCTCCGTGCGCGGGTTGAGGGCCTCGAAGCGGAGGCGGCAGAATATACAAATCTTACGTACGAGTCGTCAAAGATGCAACAAGAACTTCAAAACCTTAGGTCCGAAAACATGACCCTCAAGCGCAGCTCCATTGTTGGCCCCATCGATGTTCAAAACAGAGCCTCTCGAGCTTTCTCAGGTGCGGGTTTCTCAGGTGCGGGCGGGTTGTCCCGCTCCAATTCGGTGGCTGGAGGGCCCATGCGCGGTCAGAGACCGACTGGCCTTGGACGTTCCAACAGTGTTCGGGGCGGTCCCCAAACGGAATCCCGGGAGGCGCTTTCCGAACGCTTAAAAGACGTCGAAGCCCAGCGTGACGCGCTTCACGGGGCCTTGAAGAGTCTCCTGGAACGTCAAGAGGTTCAGAATCGCCAATACCAGAAGAAGATTCAACTATTAGAAAACGAACGTCAGCGCCTGCTGACTGGCCCTGGAAAGAAGGGCTTCGAGAGAGAGATCATGAACCTCCGAACGGAAATCAATGTACTTCGCCGAAGAGCGGAAGATGCGCTCGACCAAAAGTGGCAGGTCGAGAAGGGCTTGAGTGGTCTCAAAATGGATCTTGACAGAGCCGAAGGCGAGATCGCGTCTCTCCGAGAACTTCTGAATGAGAAGGACATTCTCATCCCCGAGACAATGGCGCGTATGAGTGGGTCGGACGATGGAGACCGCGAGCCTGTGACATCCGAGTCCCTTAGCCAGGCCTACGAGAAACTGCAGGCCGCCTATGCTGAGTCGCTTGAACGTATCAAGAACCTCGAGTCTGGAATCAATGACGACGAGAAGACAAAGGTGGCCATGCGACGCCTCGAAAGGGCCGTTTCTGTTGCCATCACCGAGCGCGACTTTGCTAAGACTGAGATGAATGCTATCCGAAACCGCTATGATGAAGCTTATGCAAACGAAACCAGGAGTGTTCAAGCTGAGAGCGCCCTGGCTGATGAACTCTGCGAGACAGCTCGGTATGTCGAGACACTGGCTTCGCAGGTGCAGCAGCAGTTGAGTGCCAACTCGGAACTTCGAATGCGCCTTGCCGATGCTGTGACACGGGGTGACGCAGACAGGAAGGCAAACAATGATCGCATCACTGCTATGATGGAGCACCTGGGAGCCCTCGAAGAGCAGCTTGTTTCCGCGCAATCAGGATCTGAGGATCAGGTTACCCGTCATGAAGAGGAGGTCTCCAAGCTCCGAGATGCCCACAACTTCCAGCTTCAGCGCATTGGTGGCAGCCCCGGCCTTGGTGGACTAAGGTCCCCTGCTGTGAAAGGCAGCCGATCAGGTTCCATGTTGAGCAAGTCTCGCTCCAAGATCCCCTTCCCTGACCTCATCGAGGCCCAGAGCTTTGAAGATGAAGCCGAGATGACAAGCCTCCGTGCAAAGGTCGCGGAGCTTGAGAAGGCTCTTGCTGATGCAGAGAATGAGATGCAAGAGGTGATTACTAGAATGAGCACCGCCCAGATCGAAGTCTTGAACCTGCAAGAAGAGCGTGACAGAGCAGTCCGAGAGACTAGGAAGCTGCAGAAGATTCTCGAAGGCGAGCAGGCCAAGCCCGTCGATCAGCGATTCATGGCCTTCCGATGAGCTGCAGGCCAGTAATGACCGTTTGGCTTACGAGTGATTCTTTTTCTTTTCTGATTTTTTTTTTGCATACAATTTTTCTTTACCGTTTGGTTTTACCCCTTCAGGATAATCTCCTGCATTGAGCGACTGGCGTTTCTACATTCTTGGGTTATTATTCCCCTTGTCTTTCGAATGAACATATATTGGCTTGGGTTGATCAATTTGATAAACGTTGGTATAAAAGCCGTAATTACGGTGAAAAGGTGAAACTGGGATGGCTGCTGGTCTTGGGGATGATCGCTTGGATGGGCTACTTGAAGCATTCACAATTATTGTCGGGTGTGAGCCATGCTGGCCGGTACTGTGATATCGGTTCTCTTCACATGCCATTGCTTGCTGGATGAAGCTTGCTCTGGCCACTTATATCTTAATGTTTACTTCAATGTTTCCAGATGTATTATATTAATCGTTGTCATGGAGGTAGAAGGATTATCGAGGAACTTAGGATTAGAACCCAATTAAATTAAGATCTTATTTAAGTCAACGTTGGCCACCAGATCTGTGTGTATGAGAAGGAGTGAACAGAGATGAGAGATGCAAGTCAGCTTTTACATTATTGGG